ACAAGCCCTGCCTGTGCTGAGTGCCATTCCCATCTCATTCTGTTGCTCTGCCTTCTGCTCCTTGCCCAGTGCTTCCTACCCAATCTGTGCTGTTTTTAGCTTCCTGCCTTGTCTGCTGCTGTGTGCCCTGTTCCTTCCCTGATCTTCCAAATACCACTCATAGATGCCGCCCATGCCACTTGCAAGGTAGGTTGGCCACCCTGTCCTCTAATGACCTTAGCATACTACAAAATGATCCCTGCAAGCCTGCCCCCCCAATACCCTACAAATGTACTGTCAGGGAGGCCTACCCCAGTGCCCATATACTGCTATCTTGTATGACCTTTGCTATTTGTTTTTGAAGGTAGCTCTAAAAATCTCCAGTGATGAAAAAATTAGGATTGGAAGAGAGGGAAAGTGGGTTGCTTCATGTGCAGCAATGCTAATGATGGCAGCTACAGAGACCCACTATTTAAAGCTTAAAACCCCTTCTGGAAGGAGGGAGCACAGAAAATTCGCTTACTGTGCAGACAGGAGGCTGCAGATGAAAAATGGAAGCCAGCAGCTCTGCTACTGCTCCATGGCCTGAGGGCATGGAAAATCCTATTGTCCACCATCACAATTAGATGCTGCCTGTTTACATAGGCTGTGCTGTGAAAGTTTAGCTTTTAGACTATGCTGTTCTATGCAATCTGACCACTTCAAAAGGTCAGCAACAGTTAGATGGACAACTAGAAGGACTGTAACCACCAAGTATCCATCTTTACCTTAAGTTACATATAGACAAAGCAACCCCATAAACTTACCTCTTCCTTTAGCTGGAAATACACAAGGGAGGCCATACTCTTTGAAGCCATGTGAGATAACAGTTTATCAGAGCTACCTAACAGCCAAATCTGTAGACACGAAAAAAATAAGTATTTGTCAGTTTTATGAAGTGGGGTTTTTTTTGTTTTTTTTTGTTTTTAAGAAAAGCTGTGAAAACAGTTGTAAGAGCTTACTAATTTTGAGTCAGCTTGTGTCTCCTTCAGAAGAATTCTAATTATATCACGGTACTTCTGTCTTATGCTGTATTCAGTTTCCTTCGACTGTACTTTAGCGAGCATCATTTCAATCAAGGTTAACTGAAGTAGCATTATTTCCCGTGGACTGAATGCTGAGAAGTTTGTGTTTGCAGAGCTATCAGATTTATCATCAGTCAGGAAGACAACAGCATCTGAAACTGTGGAGTCCTGATGGCTCCTAATGCCACTGTTAGTAGATTCCAGACACATTTGATTATGTGACTCATTACCTCTTGCAGATGAATGCTTTGCAGAAATATGAAGGTTGAGAAGAGAGGCATAATCATAGCTGTGCTTTGCTAATGGACTGCCTACCAGCACATCACTATGCATCTGCTGTAGAAGAGATTGATCCCCCATTCTGGAAAGATTTTAAAATCTTAAGAAAGTCTTAAGCTTTTGCATGTTACTCATGGGCATTCTGTATCAGTTCTGCTCAGACAAAAAGAACTGGCTTTGAGTAGTATTTCTTTTATCCTGGTAAAAAAAAAAAAAAGAGAGAGAGAGAGAGTTGTGTTATTGAACCTAACAGATTAGGAGGAAAATATACATGAAGCTGGATCATGAATTGGGCCCCACATTTAAAATGAATACTACTGTTGTTAAACATACTTTGCAGGAAAGTGTGGAAATATGCATTCACTATGTATTTTTTAAATGGGCACCCTATAAAACCCTTCCTTCAAACTTCTGAAAGTATTCATTCAAGAACATCAAAAACTCAGGACCTTGTAAAAATATTCTGAATTGCCACAAAGTTCAGAATACCACAGGCAGGGGGCTGCTGAATACCATAAGCAGGGGGCTACACACAGACCTAGAACCTGGCAACCCAGAATACCACAAGGAGGGGGCTATTCTGAATTGCCATACAGTTCACAGTCTTAATTTTAAGTCTCATTTAAAAAAAAAACAAAACAGTGCCTCCGGCAGCACAGTATCACCTAACTGCATGCTGAGCTGTTGATTCAGTACCAGGAGAAGAGTGCCACCTGCCGGATCACCAGGAAGGATCTGTCAGTTAGGAATAGGGGCTTAAGTCAAGATGAATATCCTGAACTGTCCTTGTTTGCACAACATGCTGTAGTGCTGGTTCACCTGGAGAAAATGCACAAAACCTTCCTTTCAAAGTTATATTCAATGAGAGTTCAATATGCATAAGAGCTTGTTTTGACTAAACAGACACCTTTCCATACTTTCACAGCTCTAGACATACCAGCAAATAGCCTGCTCGTCTTTTACAGCCATTCCATATACTAACGGCATTTTTAGATAGCTAAAGGCTTTAAAGAAGACAAGGTGTTCATACCTCACTGAATTAGAGAACAATAAAGATTCCAGTCCTGTAAATGAGTTCCACCGAAATCAATAAGACTCTAAACTAGCAGCCAGATTTGTCTATACCAGCGATTCTCAACCAAGGTCCCACAACATCCTTAAGGGTGCAACACACTATTCATACTGTTAGGTGTGAATAATCTGTAGGTGTTTCCACAAGATAAGCCCTGAGATTTCAAATATGACCTCGTAGCATAAACATTCTGACCTGTTGTGATCTGAGGTTTTTTGCAATAGCAGAATTCAGGATCAAATGAATCTCTCTTGCATCGGCGCTCAAGTGGACCACCGTGCCCACACCGGAGGGCAAAAGTGAGCCCCTAATACAATTAAAAGGGACAAAACAGATGTTAGACATCTCCATTTTCAAAAATGGTCTGTAACCGAGTATCCCGAGACCAAAAGTTTGCTTTTGAGATGTGCTGAGCACCCAACAGTCCCATTGAAATGGATAGGAACTGTAGATACTTGCTGCTTTAGGACATCAGGCTTGTCAAAAATTGCAAACTGAGCTACCCAAAATGACGTGTCATGTCTACAAAGCTGGTTCTAAGAGCCTGCACATTCCCAGATATATACCGTGGGTTCTTTATTAAACCTAATCAGTCTTTTTAACTCAATGTTTTGAGAAGGGGAGCAGAAAGTTTCACTTGCAGGCAGTGGCGTCTTCATCTTTCTTGGCTGCTCTGCTTCCCCCTTAGGGGAATCCTGGGAAAACTCTGGGCCTTGACCCCTGGAAGGCATGATGGTCTGGGTACTCTACCACCCCTGGGTGGTGCAATCCCCAAAAGGTTCTACGCAGAATCCTCTCCATTAGCAGTGTAGGTGCAGACACCTTTGTCCAGGGACAACTGTGAACCAATCTGCAACCCAATTGTCATGTTAGTCCACACACTTAAGGTTAGAGAAGCTATTCTTTCCAAGCAGCTCTAGGTAGTCATGCTGCTATGCAACAACACCAACACCTTTATGCCACAATTACAGCTACTCCTGTTTAACAGCAATCTATGCTGTAGTGATTTCCAGGTTTGCAGTCCTCAAAACTGCAGGGCTGTCTTCTTAAAAAGAACTTTTCTTCTAGGGAGCATGTTTAGAGCTTTAAATCTAAGAGCCAGCCAGGTACAGTTCTAGACTGATCATTTTATTACTGGTAGCAAGTACTTATCGGTTGGGAAAGAGATAATCAGTTTTTTTTTCCCAGTTTCTCCTTTTTTATTCTTATCTCATAAAAAGGGAGCAGTCTCTAACAATTCCCTGAACATCTATCCATTATATACGGAAGTACGTAGTAGCAAACAAAGCAATGCAATTTACTTATCGTTAATCATGACTTATTTTGACTGGTAGTCTAAAAGCATGACAAATATTCTGCTGTACCACTCGGCATATGCAGTGAATTTTTTAGCCTATCATCTCTAAGCAGCTTCCAAAGTACTGCCCCTTCCTTTGTTGTATTATCCCTCAATCTGCCATTAAAATTCCTGTGTAACCTTGGAAAGTCATGTAACCTATTTATACATCGGTGTCCACTTTTGCACAGTACATGTGCAGAAGCCGAGAGAGTAAAGTGACTTTCCAAGGTTACACAGCAACTTAAAATGACAAATTGAGGAATAGAACCCAGACACCTGACTACCACAACTTGCCCATATTTAGTCTCAGACAGAATTGAAAATTGGATGATAAGGCAGTGTGTGCTGCCAGCTATCAAAATGTGCACATTTGTCTCACAGATTCTCAGGTATTTTTTTAGAAAATATCATTCAGCAAGATCTGACCTGTAAAAGCTAGAACCTTACCAAATCTTGGACAGGATGACACTGGAACATCACATTATTTTCTTGTCTACGTGTCCCATTTGCAACACAATTAGTCTAAAATATCAGATACTTCTATATTCAATTGCAGAATATACTTAGCATTCTATACGGAATAGAAATTATAATCTAAAACTTCATACAATTTCTTCAGCAATCAGCTTGTGGCTAAATTTATACAAAGTACTGTTCCCATCTTCAAGGTCTATTTCTACCTAAATGAATATACAACAGAATAAAATTACATTTCCACACATTTACAAAGGGTTTGAATAAACACAACTGAAGGATTGTTCTACATGTGACACAAGTAGATGTCTTGTGTAATTTATACGATACAGGGATGCTGCTCGGGTGAAAGAGACAGAGAACTCATCTAGGGCATGCACTAAGAAATTCTACCTTTGCAACAGGATGTTGGCTGTGCTTTACCTGATCATATCTTAACACGTGTAAGTGGCAGCATTAAGATAAAGAACACTTTACAAATGCCTATGACATGTCCCAAACAGGACAACTGTTCAGAAGGGAAAGAAAAGATAATAATTAAGAAAGAAGTGGCAGAGATTCTTTAAGAGGTGGGTATTAAGCATCTGAAAGGAGGGAAGGTACCAGAGGATGAAGACAGATTGTTTCAGGATAGTAGTGGGGGAGGGTAGTACAAGATGGCATGAAGCCAAAGTGAGGAAAAAGAAGCAGTAGCATGACTGCAAGGCCATGTTAGAAACAATGTCTTTCAATTTTATCTATTATTTTTTGTATTTTGAGAGGATCAAGGTTGGGAACCACTAGACAAGCAAGGCAAGTCCAGCACTGTACCTAGGCAGCCCCTGGCAAACTTTTAGTATTGCCCCCAACCTTGCCAGAGATAATGATCATCATAACCAAAAAATTACCATTTTCAGGCCCCTTCCTGCCTGGGTCCCAGACTGCCCATACCTGTGACTGGCACTGGGCAAGTCTTACAATTCAAGTGGACAAGACAGGTGACAGCATGGTGTCAAATAGCATAGTTTCATAGTTTCTAGGGTCGGAAGGGACCTGAGAAGATCATCTAGTCCGACCCCCTGCCATGGCAGGAAAGAGTACTGGGGTGAAACGACCCCAGCAAGGTGGTCATCTAACCTCTTCTTAAAAACCCCCAGGGTAGGAGCCTGCACCACCTCCCTTGGAAGTTGGTTCCAGACCCTAGCCGGCCTGACCATGAAATAGCGCCTTCTGATGTCTAACCTAAATCTACGCTCTGCTAGCTTGTGACCGTTGTTTCTGGTCACTCCTGGCGGTGCTCGGGGGAACAGTGACTCCCCCAATGCCTTCTGATCCCCCCGACCAGTTTGTAACAGGCCACAAGATCCCCCCTCAGCCTTCTCTTGTGGAGGCTGAACAGGTTCAGGTCCCGTAGTCTCTCCTCATAGGGCCTGCCCTGCAGTCCCCTGATCATGCGAGTGGCCCTCCTCTGGACCCTCTCCATGCTGTCCACATCCCTCTTGAAGTGCGGCGCCCAGAACTGGACGCAGTACTCCAGCTGCGGCCTGACCAGTGCCGCATAGAGGGGGAGGATCACCTCTCTGGACCTGCTCGAGATGCATCTGTGGATGCATGACAAGGTGCGGTTGGCCTTCCTAACTGCCTCCCCACACTGCCGACCCATGTTCATCTTGGAGTCAATGATGACTCCAAGATCCTTTTCCGCCTCCGTGCTGACAAGAGGGGAGTTCCCTAACCTGTAGGTATGGTGCCGGTTGTTCCTCCCCAGGTGCATCACCTTGCACTTGTCTGTGTTGAAACCCATCCTATTCTCATCCGCCCACCCTTGTAACCTGTCTAGGTCCGATTGTAGCCTGCTTCTTCCTTCTAGTGTGCCCACGTCCCCCCACATCTTAGTGTCATCAGCAAATTTGAACAGGGTGCTTTTCACCCCCTCGTCCAAATCACTGATGAAGATGTTGAACAGTGCGGGCCTGAGGACCGAGCCTTGTGGAACCCCACTGCCCAAGTCCTTCCAAGTTGAGAAGGACCCATCCACTACCACCCTCTGGGTGCGGCCCTCCAGCCAGTTGGCAACCCATTTGACTGCGTGGGTGTCTATGCCACAGCCTCCCATTTTCATGATTTGTTAGTGATATGATTTTTTTTTCCCCATTATCCTTGAAAAACGAATAGCAAAAACTAATCATTGCACAGTGGATAGGAGAAAGCCACTACCCTCCTTCCCCTTCTCCCTTCCTTAAAAGGAAAAGGAAGGAAGAAGAGAGACACTGAAAGAGAAACAGGTACAAGGTTGCAGATGAAAGCCTCAGAGGGAAGTGGCTTGAAACTATGGAGTTCTCAGGAATATCATACACCAGACAAAAGAAGCTTACATGGGGTCACTAAAGGCAGTCCTCGACTTAAATACCATTCGTTGTTACTTGAAACGTTTTATGACATTTAGAAATAGACACCGTTTTGACTTTCTGACGTCAGTTTCAACTTTACGACGCTTAATCTAACGCTATGCCAGCGAACAAGTTCACTGCATTGCCCATCTCCCTGGAAAATATTTGTCTGCACTTCCTTGGACACTTCCTTTAAGAAAGCAGCCAAGACTCCACAAAAACCTGCAGCCAAGACTCCTGAGAAGACTCCCCCCTTCAAAAAAATCCAACCAGGAGTCCTTCACAAATTCCAGCAAAGTCACGTCAAAGAAGTCCTTTCAAATCAGTACAATTGCTATTGACAACAGAAATACATTCATGTAGCTATATTACACATCTATAATTGATCAAGTACAAAAGCCTGTGTTATTTTTGGGGAAAACAGAGTATTGGGCCTTGCTTCAGGAACCCATCCCCCCTTTATAAGATTGTTTCCTTTGGGAAAAATCAGTTCCGAGTTACAACGTTTCAACTTGCCGGGACCCAGTCGGGGCACCACGCCTGAGCACTGCCCGCACCCCCAAAACAACCCTGAAAAAGACTGGTCAAGTCCACGTACCTTTCCAAAGGAGGGCACTTTGCCTTATATCTGCGCACAGAAATCCACCGCTTTTTTTTTTTTAATGAAGAACGGTGAAGTTGCCCTGCACCATTTCCTACGTTTGAAGGAAACGGTCATTAATATTATTATTATTTTACATCAGACATAACCAAACAAAGCACTCAATCATTCACATGGGCCACGTGATTCCCGCAATGAGAGACCCCAGGCAGTATCCAACCCCTCCCCCTCAACCCAACTCAACCCCAAACTCTACATTTTTAAATTTTTTTTTAAGAAAATGTTTCGCGTTTTAAGCCAAATAAATTCCACCTCCGACGCCCCAGGGAGCAGGGGCCGGGGCAGCCCTATGAAGCGTGAGCACAAGTGACAGGTGGAGGCCGCCCCCGCAGCGGCCCCCAGACCCCCGCCCTCACCTGGCGCCTAGGCCGCGCCCGCGCACTGTTGCTAAGCAACACCCAACCGGGTGCAGCAGGGCCCAATCCTCTCCCCGCGACCGCTCCGCCGCGACAACCCCTTCCCCCGCGCTGTCGCGCAACCCCGCGGCGCTTTACGGCCCTGGGCGGAGCCTCCCGGCCACCGACAGCCAACCCGGCGCCGCAAGCCCTGACGGGGAGAGGCGGGGCCCTAGCGGCGGCTCCCCATTGGCTGGCGTGGGGGTCAGTCCCGGCCCGGTGACCCCGGAGTGAGGGGCGGGGGGGGAGGCTCAGTGCAAAGTGTCCCCACAACCCCCCCGCAACGGCTGGGTCTGCGGCTCCCCCCGGCCCTGCGCGCTGCCCGGGGGGGGAGCCGTCGGGGCCGGCGCCGCCTCGCTGCACCGCAGGTA